GCTCTGGAGCTAAGAGGAAAGGCTGATGAATGCTAAGGGCTTCAAATAGTGAATTTTAAGATCATGTGAAAATGCTTCAAAAAGTGCATTATGTCAGTACATGCAACTGGGAGTTCTTACTGCTAAGCCTCTATTGTTGTTTGATGGCTTGGTTCAGTCGTGTCCAACTCTTTGTGACTCCACTTGGGTTACAAAGATACTGGAGTGCTTTACCCTTTCCTTCTCCAGCTCATTTTACAGATGAGGAAACTGAGGCAAACAGGGTTGAGTGACTTGCCCAGGGTTATACAACTAGTAAGTGTCTGAGACCAGATTTGAACTCAGAAAGATGGGTCTTCTTGACTCTAGGCCCAGCACTCTATCCACTGTGCCTTCTAGCTGCCTGGTGGTTTGGTTACATTCCTTTAAATTATGATTAACTTCATATCACTTCCTCCCTTTAGTTTCCAGAATACACTGAGAAGGGAACAGGAGAATTGCTATGTCACTGCATGATAAACAGAAGTTTACGTTAAAAACAAGTCTAAAAAAAAAGGGAGGAAAAATTGGAACATGTCTTATCCTAATAGGAAACAACATATAGGTTATTTCAAGGTGCTGCTAAGATGCCTTATCTAATGGGAAAACTATTTCTGATCCTTTCAGTCTTTAGTTCTATCTTTTTCCAGAATTGACTTTGTTACTTTGCATTTACTTTGAGTTTACTTATAGGTGAATATATTGTATTCCTACAGTACAATGTGAGCTCTTGAGAGTAAGGACTGATACATTTTCTGTCTTTTTATTCCTTGGGTCCTAACAGTGCCTTGCACGTTGAATTTAATTACAAAAAGGTGTTTCTTTTGTTTTGTTAAATAGTTCAGTAATTATATATCAGTGCTTTCTAGAGCCAAAACAAGAGTTTAAAAAGATGTCAGGGATCCCACTATGTAACAACCTTGTTCAGTACTCAATTCCTACCAACAATTTTAAGCAGGTTGCAGGGACTACTCTCTGGCCACCTCAGCTGAGGAAGTTACAGAAGACCCAATATATAATCATAATGTATAGACTTGTGAGTCAAGAAGGAAAACAACACGATTGGCAGGGGAAACTAAGTCCTGAATTTCAGAGTTTGAGGCAGTGGCAAAGGAGCCCCGGAGAGGAGGTGGAGCCAGAAGGAGATGGCTCTCCCTCCTCTCTTTCCCCGCATTGGCCAATCATGGTATCTAACACCAGAGTAGGAGACACTTCATCCAGAAGTTGGAATTGAAGATTTGGTGATGCAGCAAGCCAGGAACTGCCTGTGGAGGAAATACTTGCAATACTTGAGGGATGGAGAGGGGAGGAAAGAATTTCTCTCCATTCCCATCCCTATCATTAGCCATGTGGAGCTACTGTCCAGTAGTAGGAGACATTGCATCCACCAGGGAGCATACACATGTTCTAGACAGGCCCAGACACCGAGAGACAGTCACCCAAAGAAGAAAAGCAACTTCAAGGACTATGATCCCTGGCAATTGAGTTGGGCCACAGAGAGCAGCAAATCCTGGGCACTCCCCATAAGGACTCTCCAGAGACAGGACTTTTGGGCCTGGCAGTACCGGGATTTATAGGGTACCTTTGCCACATATGTATCCTATATCCCACTACCACCGATACCATGCTTGAGGCCCTTCCTCCCATGGATTTTGTATTTGTGGGAGGTGTCCTAGAATGTTTTACAACTACTAGAGCAGCTAGTGGATAGAACACTGGGCCTGAAGTTAGGAAGATCGGAGTTCAAATTCCACCTCAGACACTTACTAGCTGTATGACCTTGGGCAAGTCACTTACCCTCTTTGCCTCAGTTTCCTCATCTGTAAAATGAGAATAATAATAGCACTTACCACCCAGGGTTGTTGTGAGGATCAAATAAGATAATGCTTGTTAAAGCCCTTTGGAACATAGTAGATGCTATGTAAATGTTAGCTATTATTATTATGCTTTTGCTATACCATCTGAGTAAATGCTTTTGCTTAAAGCTAATTACATTTACTTGCTGATGATTAATGGAAAGCACAACAGCAGAGGCTTGTGAGCTACAGTAGTAGGAGAAGACCCTTGCAAAATTATCCCCTGGAACCTAATACAGTTAGTCCTTCTAGGGACCCAACCTACAAAACCTGTGAGGAGGAACTGTGGAATAGCCCAGAGCAAGGGCTCTGTGTAGAAATGGTAAAATGGAATTCATCTGATTTAGCCTTCCTTACTGTGCTGTGAAAGTCCAAAGTACTGGCTCCAGATTTTAACAGAGTGGGCTTATTGCTTTTTAAAATAAATTTTATTATAAATAACTATCAAAGAGATAATAAAATGAACATAAAAATAAGGAATGAAATCTCAAATCTTTAACATCTAACAAAGTACAGGCAGAGCCAAGATGGGAGCATAAAGGCAGGGACTCACCTGAGCTCTCCCCCAAACCTCTCCAAATACCTTTAAAAATGACACTAAACAAATTCTACAGCAGCATCTAACAAAGTAGAACCAAACGAATTTGCAATAAATAAATTCTATTTCCTCTGTGTCAATTTGCAAGCCCCTCTGAAGTTATGCTTATTCGAAGCTTTGTTTTATGTAATGACACAGAGTTATGGTCAGTGTGTATATAGTCCTGGTCCTGCTGCTCTCATTTTGTATCATTTTCTATTAAGTCTTTGTATACTTCATTTTTAACACTATAATATCCTATCATATTAACATACCATCATGTATCCACCCACTCTCTAATTGTGGGATATAGAGGTATTTCAAGGGTTTTTTTGCTCTTATAAATTTTGTTCTAAAGCAACTGCAGATACTTTTCATAGCTCCTTTTAATTTTTTATGATCAAGTTCTAGCAAAAGAATCAGTCAAAAGTTATAATCAGCTAATTTGTGACTGATATTGCAAAACTCTATCCTCCAAAGTTGCCCATTTCCCCACAGCCCTGCCAAAATGGAATTTTGTAACTTTTTACTATTTTTGCCTTTCTAGTGGGAGTAAGGTGGCTTCTTAAAATAGTCTTCATATGCATATATCTCTGATTAGATAATTTAAGCATATTTCCATGTTATTAAGTTTATTTCTACCTTTAAAAATTGTCTGTTCAGGTCCCACCGAACAGGAATTAGGAATTGCTAATCTTACAGATAAGTCTTCTACTATTAAAAAGATGTCAGGGATCCCACTATGTAACAACCTTGTTCAGTACTCAATTCCTACCAACAATTTTAAGCAGGTTGCAGGGACTACTCTCTGGCCACCTCAGTTGAGGAAGTTACAGAAGACCCAATATATAATCACAATGTATAGACTTGTGAGTCAAGAAGGAAAACAACACGATTGGCAGGGGAAACTAAGTCCTGAATTTCAGAGTTTTTTATAAATACTGCTTAATGAATCATGATGTCAGATCTTCATATGATGTATTTATCGCATACTTTTTTCTGTAATGACTTTTCTCTTAATTTTGAAGATGCTTTTGTTGAGCAAAAGGCTCTTTTCTATGTATAATTATAACCTTTATTTTGTCTCCACTGATCTCTTCCATTTGTTTGATAAAAATATTTCCTTTAGTTTGATCATTGTTGTATATTTAGACTATTTTCCAGTTAGCTGGTAAATGCATAAGATATGTATCAAAACCCATTTTTCATCATATAGTGATCCAGTTTTTATTCCATTCCTCAGTATTTTAAACATGAGTTTAAATGGCAATCTCTGACAGATACTAGCTTGTATTTCTAGCTTCTCTATTCTGTTCTATTTTTTTTTTCAGAGGAACTGATTTCAAATCCTGGCTCTGCCATGTACTTGTGTGACCTTGGGCAAGGTAATTTCTGGGTTTGTAAGGTCATCTATAAGATAAAGGCACTGGACTTCAAAGGCCTCTTACTGCTCTATGATCCTATGATCTATTTCTTTCTTTTTTCAGTAACAGTTTTAAGAAATAATTCTTGCTTCATTCTGATATCTAGAAGTGCCAGTCCCTGTTTTCAAATTTCTTTTTCATAGTTCATACTTGCCTATCTACTTTTCCATATACATTTAATACCTATCTAATTTTGTGAAATAGCCTTTTTGACTTTTTTTTTTTAGGCAACTGGGGTTAAGTGACTTGCCTAGGGTCACACAGCTAGTAAGTGTCAAGTGGTTGGTCTGAGGCTGGATTTGAATTCAGGTCCTCCTGACTTCAGGACGGTGCTCTATCCACTCTGCCACCTAGCTGCCCCTGCCTTTTGACTTTTTGAATGGTATTGCACTCAACCTGCAAACAAGTTTGGGAAGCATTAACATTTTTAATATATTGGTTCTAATCATTAGCAAAGGATATCCCTCTATTTGTTCAGTCCTCCCTTGACTTCTGTCAATTATTTTGAAGTTATCTTAATATAGATCTAGTCTTGATAAGTACAGTTGGCATATTTTAAAATAAGCATAATCATGTAGAACTCTATTACATTCCAAAATCTGCTCTTTCTAAACAGTTACACAAAAGCTAATTTAACTTCGACCCCCAGACTATAATCACTGTCATAAATACAAGTGTAGAAGAAAAAAAAACCTATTATTGTTACCTTCAAAAGTTTGCTCTTAAAAATATATTCCAGGGGCAGCTAGGTGATGCAGTATTTAGAGCACTGGCCCTGAAGTCAGGAGGACCTGAGTTCAAATCCAGCCTCAGACCAAACACTTGACACTTACTAGCTGTGTGACCCTGGGCAAGTCACTTAACCCCAACTGCCATACACACATACACACATACATACACACATACATACATACATACGTACACACATATATGTATATATGTACATATATGTGTGTATGTATGTATGTGTATACACACACACATATGTGTATATTCCAAAAATAATACCTTATTTGATCTTATATGATATCTCCCCTTCTTTCGCTCCTAAAAGACATTTAGGAAGAATGAAAGATAAGAGATCTGAAATCTCAATGAAGTTCACTATGATGTAAATCAAGAGTCTCAGGTGCATAGAGAGAAAGTTTATTTACGACAGGTTTTGGAACTTGGAAGACAAGAATTCACAAAGGCATCGCAAAACTGTCAAACAATATAAAAACACACAAACTAAGCTATTTAAGGGACTGTAGCACATAAGCTCATCTGCATGTTACAGCAACACATTCAATGCCACAGTTCGTTATTTTTAAGGAGAAAAAAACCTCACACAAAAAGGACACAAAAATTAAGTAGTTTGGTGCAGAGTGCTTTACATGGTTTGAAGTGACAAGATGATGCTTATTTTCTACTATCACGACAAATACTTATGAGTAAGAAGGAAACAATCTGACCAGACCAAATAACTTTTGTTCTTGAAGAAAAAGAAATTTTAAAGACTGAGACTGTTTCTTCTTCAAATCAGTTTCTGGAATGATAAACAATTACAACATTTTGCAGTAAAAATACCTGTCTTTGCAGCTGCTCTGTTCCTTCTTTAAAACTTATTAAGAAAATGTAGTTCTCATGATATAATTAACCAAAATTTAATATACTAGGAGGCACTAGGGAAATAAAGGACCAATGGTATGATCTGGTTTCTGGAAAATATTCAAATAACTGTTCCGGTCAACAGCTCCTCATGCCTATCTCTTCTAATGAAATTCTAGCTATCATTTTGGAGCAGATAGTGACTTTTTTCTGGGGACCTCAAAGCACTTCCCATCTTCATCTTCTCTCACAAGTATTTTTTGGAACAATGAGGGAAATATTAGACAGGCCCAGAACACCAAAGGAGGAACAGGGACATTGAAGTGCGAGAGTCAAAAGCCCATTATTTTAACCTCTAGCCTTTACTCTCTTCTCTAACACAATCAAATGAAAATTCAACTTGATGAAATGCCAATATACCCAGAGAAAATAACCCCAGCCAAAGATGAAAGCCAATAGCCAATCAGAGTATATACGGCAATAAAATAGGCGCCATAGAAGACTGCGTAATTTAGGGAAATGAGTAGCCTCTTTGTAGATAATTTTCAAGTTAAACCCTAATATAGTAATATTAGAGACTTTACCAGATGATTTCTGAGATCCCTTCTAACTCTCATTTTCTGATTCTACAACTGGCTACTGCAATGGCATTTAGCTGAAAAAAACTGTTCAAAACGACTGGAATAAAAGATACTTCCATCATGTGGCAGTATTATTGGCTCATGGATAAAACTGCATCTGAATTAAACTTTCAAGACTGTAAACCAGAACATGATTCTACCTTGACTCTCAGAGAATAAACATTTTCATAGGACTGTTCCCATTTATGATATTGGTCTAATAATCCACATAGGAAAAATCAAGTGGATGAAGAATGCACATAGACCAGATTATGACAACCAACTTGGATGCACAACCCAGAGATTAACTCCATGTGCGCGTGCACGTGTGTGTGTGTGTGTGTGTGTGTGTGTGTGTGTGTGTGTGTCTTGGACAGGTGCTGCTGATGGACAACAAAAAATGGGCCCAGAACAACAAACATAGCACATCTCTGTGTGAACTCAAGAGTCAATGCCAAAAAAGTACACATTTTTTGCATCAATATTTTTCTATGAATCACAGAACAAATACGGTTTTGGAAAAATCAAAGTAGCAGATGACCTGAAGAGTAATAGAAAGATTTACGTCATTTTACTTAGACCAAAGGGTGTTATCAACAATGATTTTTACACCAGAAGTATGGTGTAAAAAGACATGTGTGATGGGAAAAGGGATATGACAAACATGCAGCAAGAGTGAGGGACAAAGGTAAAGCCTGAGTTAAATTGCACTGGTATCCACAAAAACATTTAAAGACCCATAAGGAAAGAGCTGCCCATCTGCGTAGCTCTGCTATGGAATATCTATAAAAGAACAAAGATAAGACTCACTCAGGATTTCAAGGCATGAGGGGGCTATGCTTTGTTGGACCAGTGGGAGGAGTATCCACCACCAATAAAATCATGGAATCTTCAAAATAATTTCATATAGATCATTTCAGCTACAAGCAAGTTCCAGCCACCTTTAAAAGGAAACCCAGTGGGGTTTAATTAAGAAAATTTTTGTAAACAACTTTAGCTATATGTTTCCTATGGTATTCTGAATTACTAGGTAATATACAAACTCTAGTGCATATAAATAAGAAAGGGAGCCAGACTCAAAAAGCCTGACATGGCAGTCATGAAAATAAATCCCAGTTCACATATCCAAGGGCATAAAATAAGTCAAATATAAATAGGTAATAAAAGTTAAATAATGAACTCAAATCAGAACAACTTAAGGGCTAGGTTCTTGACTTTAGGTTTTGATTTATGTGTACAGAATGTTAAGGCTGCACTGGGAGCGAGTACAAAAAGGGGAGATCATGACCTTCATTAGATACGAACAAAGCAAGAACCCCTATTTCCTGACCAACCCCCTATTCCCAGAAGTTAGACTCTATCAGCACGCTGCAAGCTCCTAGGAGTTGATTCTCCGAATTGTCTCCTTTTTCTGTGTAGGGGTCTTACCCAGCAATGAAGAGAGATGCTTTGGTATCCTCTACAGTGGGATCCTGAGAGTTGCTGAAGAAATTCAGTCTGAAATATCAAATACAGTCAAGGGCTGGGGATGATGGGGGGGAAGGAACCTCAGGTGGGAGTTTGTCTTACATGACACTGCTCACCTTCACACAAGGTTACCAATAAGGCAGTTCCCAATTCAAAAGGTAAACAAGGCATCCAGCTGCCTGAACCTAGACTATAATCAATAATTTTCCAAAGCTCCACTTCCAACACGGAGCTACTCTATCTCCCTACTCCAATTACTTTCTCTTTTTAGCCACTCAGTCTGGACAAATGCCCATGGTTATTATGCTCTCAATTCCAAGTCATCTTATGAACAACTGAGGCCCCTATGGGGAAAAGACTTCTGCAAATCCTATTTCATAGACTAGAGCCATGGAGAAATTCAATACTACTGTTTCTTACTAGAGTCACAGAGAAGATGTTTCTCCTAAGGGCCCGGGGCAGGATCATGGCTAAAATGACCAACTTGCTATATTCCCTGTGCATGATATTTCATCTCCCATCTGTGCATTTACACAACTGGTATTACTCCCTATCCCCCATTCCTGGAATGCTCTCACTGGAATGACCCCCACCTCTTGGGACCCCCATATCCCTTCCAAGGGCTCAGGTCAAGCACTACCTCCTCCAAGAGGCCTTTTCCAATTGCCCCAGCTGCGAAGTCCTCAGTGTCCCTGTTCCTTACTTATGCATGTACACATTGTCTCCTCTAGTAGAACCTGAGGTCCTTGAGAACAAAGCTGTTTCCATCTTTGTCCTTGTATCTCCAGAGTTTAGCACCATGCCTGGTACACAGCAGGCACTTAATAAATGTTTGTTGAATTGCACAGAATATTCATTCTAATTTAGAATCATTGAAGTTCAAAATTGAAAGGAATTTTAGTGGTTTTCTAGTCCATCCCTTGCAATATCTTTTTACAACTAATCTTTTATTTTCTATGATGAATATTAACTTTTTCAATGATATTCTCAGATATTCAGCCTCTGCTTGGATACCTCCATTAATGGCGAATCCATTAACTGATAAAACATCCTATTCAACTTGACAGTTCTAATTGTTAGAAGGAAACCCCCCCTCTTTTTTTTTAATATTGAGCTGAAATCTGCCTCCCTATAACTTTTACCCAAGTCCCTCTGAAACCAAAGAAAACAATTCTAATCCTTCTTCCACAAGATGGCCCTTCAAATAGCTGAAGGCCAATTAATTACTATGTCTTCATTAAGTCTTTTCTCCTGAGGGCTAAATTATCTCCTGCTCCTTCCTCTTGTGATAACATTTAAAATCCCCTCATTATCTTGGTCATCTCACTCTGGATATGCTTGTCTTCCTTCAAATGCAGTGCTAGAATGACTTCAGATATGGTCTGAACAGACTTGGGCAAGGGGCTACATGGATGCTTAACACATATTTGGTCATCTGAAAACAGATCCTCCAGGTTTGTGATCATTACTTGAGAAAGGTTGCTAATACTTAGAACTACATATGATTGTTGATTTTTTCACATTAAATAATTTGAGAATTTGCTGCTGGGGGGACAGAATTTCTTTTTTCATCTTCCTCATGAGGTCTGGTGTAGACTGGTGCTTCTTTAATAATTAGATGGTTTCAGGTTTCTTAGGAAGCTTTGGGAGGATACACTTAGGTTGTGTACACACACAGGTGTACATGGTCCTCAAGTCCCCTTCAGTTCTACAATTCCTTAAATGTGGAAGAAATGAGCTAAGAGATCTAGGGATCTGAGGTATGCTTTCTGGAATACTGAAGAATATTCAAGTGTAGGGTCTGAAAAAACTCTGAGAAGGCAATTGATATATCTCTTTCTCTTGTTACATATAGTGCTATGTACATCATGGTACCTAACACTGTATCAGATGATAACAGTAACATTTATATTAGATGTTATCAGTACAACTCAGATGAGGCCAGTCAACAGTGAGCACAAGTTGCCATGGGAAAACATGTTCTAAAGGCTTTGGTCTCTTCTGCGATGTAGCTGTGAAAGGTCTGAACATTCCATTAGCCAGAATTTAAGAGTATACAATAATGCCAACCAACTGCTCTTTGCTACTTTCTAGTGACCAATCTTTTCTGAGGCCAAGGGAATCCCTCAAATGAAAACTCCATCCTCAAGTCAGCATTACATCTAATTAAGAAAAGGTAGTTCTTTGAGCTGATCCCTTTGGGTAGACAGCAAAGCGGGCTTGGGATTTTCTTAACAAGCACATTAAGACACACCTCCCCTTTCTCCACCTTCTTTTTAAGAAGGAATTCTAACATCTGACATGCAAACAGAAAATATGAGCAAAATGAAAATACTCAACAGCTTTGCTTTCTTCTGTCTCTATTTCTTGTTTCACTTCCTGCTGATTCCCTTTTCTCTTTCTCCTTTACAAGTGAATCGTACATCAGCATATGTTACAGCAAACAAATTTCTAGCCTCTGCCTTTCATCCCTCCAATACACACACACACTTCTATATCTACTAAAACTACAGTATCTCCAGGAACTTTGGGCTAACGGTAGAGAAATAATCCTACCTCACATCTGGAAACTAAGAATTTTGGTCCCACCTGCCTCTCCCATGAAGACATGAAACTGAGAGAGGTTCCCCTGGGAAACTGCTGTCTTTCCAGAATGACTGATGATGCACAAATGGTGAGTACCTTTACGTTTGTAAAGCTGTGTGATGTTTTTAGCTCTGGTGTTTCGGCCCTCAGTAGTTATAAAAGTAATTTTCAACTATAAGACAGTTTCATGTCAATGAACTCAGCTCATTTGTTTTGGAGGGTGTGGAGTTCTTTGAGTCTAATTTTTAAGATATGTCATTCATGAGAAAGAAGAACAGTGTAATGGACTGTCTGCCTTAGAATCAAGATAGGAAGACCAGGTAGCACTTCTGGCAGAGATACTGTGAGAGATAGTACAATGGGATTCCACAATCTCTAAGTGGCCCCTACAAGACTTTGAATCGAAGAACAGTAGCTTATCTGCATTGATAGAGGGAATTTCCTTAATGGGGAAAGCTCCTTATAATGTTGAAATCACAGGTAAGAACAAAAATTTTCAAAAAAAAAAAAAAGGGGCTGGGGGTGGCAAAAATAGCTTTTCAAAGACCTGAGTCGTTATTTCCCATCTTAATAAGCAAAAAGACTTTAAAAAACTTCATTAAATAAGCAAAAAGAAATATAATAGTATTCCAAGTTGTTATCTATTTCATTTTTTAAAGTATATTTGATCTCACAGTTGCATTAACGCTTCAGAATCCTGAAGACAAGTCAATAGGCAACTGGAATAAGAATGAAGTTCTTTCAAAGTTAGCTTCATTTATAATCACATGGTTCTTGTGAGGGTCAAATGAAATAATGTATGTAAAGTGCTTTGCAAAATTTAAAGCATTATTTAAGTATCAACTATTTTTATCATTCCGTGGGTATGATCAAAGTTAATACCGCAAGAATTATGGCCACAGGGATTGGGGAAGGGGGCAGACAGTCAAAGAAGGCCACTGAAGAACAATGATGAAGATCACAGCCTAGAGGCCTTTGTTGCAGTGTTGGCTATCAACAATACACTTTCTTAGTGGATGGACAATGGTAAGGTTTCAACTTAGTGTTTAAAAATCAACACTCTTAAAACTTCCTTTGTCTTTCTGAGCTTCAGTTTCTTCACTTCTAAAATGAGGAAGTAGAATTTTTGGCCAAGTCCTCACAAATGCAACCGGCCATACAGTGGCACAATTTAGACAGGTGCAAAACACATAGCAGCAATTGGGTACAACCCCAGAAAAGGCAAGAGGCATAATCCTTCCTTTGGCTACTATCATTCTCCCTCAACTGTTCTAGATAAATTGAAGGACCTGAAGATGTTTAGCCTAAAGAAAAGAAGGCTTAGGGAGAGACACTTAGGGAGAGTCTTCAAATATCTGAAGGACTGTCACATGGAAGAGGACACAACAAGCAGCAGCAGAAGCAGACAGAGAGAGATTTAAACTTGATGGAAAAGGAAAACTTCTTCACAGTAAGACCTGTTCATCCAAAAGAAGAGTAAGGAGAGAAAGTGGGTTTTCCCCACCCTGGAAGTCTTTAATCAGAGATCTGGTGATTCCTTATCAGTGATGTTGTAGATAGGACTTTTGATCAGCCACAGGGACTTAGTTGCCCCTGGAAGCCTCTCCACCTTTTAGATGCTTTAATTCTACAACTTTAATTTTTTTTGGAGAGAGATGAAGGAGGAGAAAAAGGAAAATCTTTTTTTCTTTTGTTTGCATTTTGGTTCAGTGAATTCAGACAGGGCTAGGGCAGCTCTTAGAAGTTGTCTAGGATGCTGAAATCCCAAGTAACACCTTTTCCTCAGTCTCGAATGATGTACAATTGAGAAATACAACCCAAGAATTTTTGTAGTAGGAAGTGAAAATACTTCATCTTAAGCTACTTTGGGCTGATGAGAAAATACAACTCAGGTTGTTTAGTACAACATCAGAATGGAAGGAGGTGTAACAAGGTAATTCTAGCAGTAGGCATGGCAGGAACAGGAACAAAGAGGTTATGGGAACATGATGCCCCCCAGGTATCCTCAACACAACAGATCTGGGTATCTAAAGAAAATGAAGAGCAGAGCTCTTTACAGCACAGAAATACGTGCTAATCTAAGCTAAGGAGGCTGCTCTTTCTCTCAAAAGTTCACTCCTGAAAGACTAAGCCTGAGAAAAAGATCTCTATACTGCTAAGGCATATCAACTCGAGTTCAGTCAAGAGTAAGCTGATCATTCAGCCGTCTCACCAGTTTGCCCACTGCTTAAAATGCCTTCCTCTCCTAATGAAGGGCAGTCACTCATTCACTTCGTTTGTCACCAGAGACATACTTAGACCTCTGCAAAATGCAGTGACTGATACACAAAGTAGTGGGCATGATGCAGCTTTGAGAAAAATCACATTATGGCCTTCCACCACACAGGAAACTATGAGGGCGGGGTTGTTCCCAGGAGGAACCAAAGGCACATGATGTCATCACATCCTTCATATACAATGATAATGCTACTAACCCACCATGAAAAGAATATATACTTCGGGTTATTTTTCCAGTAGGAAGGATGGATTTTTGATGAGTCAGGCATACAAACTACACGAGAGACTAAGGAAGAAGCCAAAGGAGAGCGTGGAGAAGGACTATTGTGGAGAAGGAACACCTGAAGGTGTTCAAAGGACTTTTGCAATCCAGAATACAACGAAAACTTTTATTAGCCTGTCAATCTTGGCATATTTGATTCCTTACAAAGAAACACACTCTTTCAAAGGCTGAGTTTTCCTTGAAGGAAATAGGGCACTACCTATTCCCTATACAAGTAGTAGATTTACCTTCCTCTCTCTCTCTCTTTGAAATGCCACCGACCTGACAGCAAGACTACTCACAAACAGCATTATTTTTTAACTCTATGGAAAAGGCTGCCCAAATGGCTCAGAACAAAAGGCAAGCCTCTAGAGTAACAGGTAAAAACTATTTCAAAGGTGAACTGAAATGCATTTTAAAAATAAATAACTTAATAAATAAATTGGTTTACTCCTTACAATGCTAAGACACTAACAGAATTGACAAAAGGAATGAGGCGGAAAAGGAGATAAAGGCAACAGACAAATCCTGGTTCTTCTATCCTTTCTCTGCCTAAGTACCACGTTGCTCTGGCAACAGCTAAAAGCACCACCTGATACCCTGTGGCACTCCTAGGATTTAAGGTTAATTGTGTGGGGAGGTGGAAGAGGGGAGAGACTGTCACCAGGGAAACAGGATTTGGCAGGGAAATGAACAAGTAACAAAATGAGCAGCAATCATAGAGCTCTATTATCACCTTTCCCTAAAAGACTTAAGAGGATCAAAGATGGCAAGCGGCAACTCCAGAAAACTCTCATTTGGTGAGCTTTTTGCATGAGTCTTAACAGGTAGGAAAACATTACAAAGAGAATTACCTGAATAGATTTCGCTGCATTTGGTTCTAAAGCAAATTCTCTAGCAACATTCACATTCTAGTAACAAAGAGGTGGTAGGAAGCTTGGCTTGTTCACGATAACCAGACTACGTTCTTCTTCATACAAAGACAGAGCCACACTTCGGTGTCAGGAAAGTGTGTTCTAGGATGGTAAAAGAGTCATTTGGTGCCTGATTGCCACTTCTTACCATATCTAACCACTTTTCTCTTTCTGCCGCAGTGGCCCTGGGTTAGGGTGACTGCTTATTGACAGAAGGAAGTGGTGGGAAATCTTTTCTTCTCGGGAGACTCTAAAAATACACTGGGTCTTAGAGATTACATTAAAAAATCTTTGCATTGGTAGCAAGTACACAGACTTAGCAGCTGAGGACTCGCCACAGGGAACAAGGCATAGTCCTCAAAGGGCAGTAAGGCCTCCTCAAACAGAAGAGCCAGGGCTAGGCTAACAACCAGAAATAGATTAGGAACATGGCAGTGGAAAGAGGCTGGGCAGAAGAATTCTTTCTCTTTAGCATCTCAGTTTCCTTTTATAAACATGAGCTTTCCCCTTCCTTAGTGATTTGGAAAGCCACAGGTGAAGAGGGCGGAGGTCCACTTCACAAATTTATACCAGCAAGGACGCTAGCAAATGCCGCAAATGGCATAAGGATTTGGGGAGAGGAAGCCACCCCCAGCTTAGTGGCATACCTTGTACGAAGCAAAAACAGAGACAAACAAAAAGACAATATCCCACTTCCTTTTAGATTCTCGCCTGATGACTTCACAGAGTGTTATCCCTGAAGTTTATATCAGGAGAAACTGTCCAAGTGTAACCTGTAAAAATGGTGGAAGGGGAAGAAGCTACTCCTAGGTCAACAGGCAGGCATGCCAGGCAGGCAAGTGCAAACTTCAGAAGCCTCACACTCAGCATTTAAGCAGGTTGTCCATAGAAAGCAAAAGGTGTCAGAAAAAAAAAATCCCCCCTTGCCCACCGACCTATGGCCTCAGCCCCTCAGCTGGTATAATATACATGGTAGTAGAGAGTTTTGTTGCGTAACAGTGAGTAGGAATTGTCAAATTTAAGCAGGTAGATGCCTTCTCCTGGGTAGTCATGACAACCAGCCTGTACATCTCGATGGCTATCTCTCCGATAAACCGGCATGATCTCCCCATAGCGATTCCGCAGAGAACTCTTGGAGCCCATCTCCACATCTCCAATTGGGACGAGTCCTACACGAGTAAAGCAGCAGAAAGGTTTGGCATTAGGTCAATGGGCAAGCAGAAGGGAAGGTCAAGACCCAAGTCTTGTCTCGAGAGACAAGGGGACAGACTTGTTAACACTTCAAGGTCCTTCATAGTCCTCAAAGTATATAAATAGTTCAGGATTACAGGGATAACACATTGTGACATTTAGCAAGAAAACATTAGTGTCTTTTGCACGGGACAGATGAAGGCTGGCTCTGAAGAAAAAAATACCCATAATAATTTAAGTTAATCATAAAATTTCAATTTTCCCTATTAGAACACAGTAGCATATGAAAGGATGTGGTTCTCTACTATTCAGGATGCCTGTAGATTTCCCAGCAGTCACGGACTCAATAGAAAAAAAATCTTACCCATGGCTACTTTAAAGAAAGCACGAGGGGAAAAGATTTTAGAGAGATGTTGGAAAATGAAGGAATTCTACTCATCTTATGGGTATAATTGGCTTGGTTCCAACTCTTATTATCATATTGAAACCACCACCTTGACCTCCCACACCACCTGGGTCAGCTTTAGATAAACAAAAGAGGAGACAACCCTAATGTTCTCACGTAAGTGTTTTCCAGTGTTTCTCTGGATACAAAAACGGCAACGTGTGATACTCAGTGTGAATCACAGAAGCTGGATAGGATATCTCATCGTGTATACAGTACAACTACCTCAGTGCATAGATGAAGAAACTCAGAGATAAAACAATTTGCCTCGGGGGTCACATTTTGAGCTAGTAGAAGAGTTAGGATCAGAGCCCCAATTACAAAACTCAGTCCAAGACTCCATTTTACCACTTGAGATACCATGGGGGAAAATTAGTGGTGTGGTTGAGTAGAGTACATATGAATTGAGGAGGCTGAATGTTTTAGCACCAAATTATTTTCTGGAGTTTTTTTGCTAGATTCGATCATGTACCACCTATCTATATCAGTTATATCAGTTCACCTGACTTCACCGACTTAAAATAAAAAAAGGATCTCTTTCTTCCTGCTTTCCACACTATATCAAGTTGCTTAGAGACAAGGTAAGGTCTAGTTCTGGAACTCTAAGGAGCTCAACCAATAGAAGAATTCCCAAACACAGGAGACTATGACTGAGCTAGTGTCAGAAGAATTAGAGGGTAAGGCTTCCCTAGCTACTCTTTACCCAGTGGATGGTAATAGCGATCTAATTACAGGGATAGAACCAGTGCTGTCCAGAGTTATCTCTCGACAGGGGACAACTCACCACAACCCAAACCAACCACCCTGGAGGAAGAATAAGATAACCCAATCCACACTCAGGCCAGACCAGTGGCTTCTGTTGGCTAGGAGGACCAATGCCCACTACCTAGCCCCACTTCACTAGCAGCACTGGGGAAACAGACCCAAGCCTGGCCCATTTGACCTTGCAATAGTCTTTAGAGACTAAATTTCTCTTCTCATCTGCTACCCACTACTATCCCTTTGCCTTCATTTGTTTCTTTCCCTATCCTTATACTGATCAATCATCAGCCATTTAGGAAAACCTGTCCCTATTATCTCCTCCCCATCTTCATTCCCCCTCCACCCTATTCCACACATATTCTACTTCAAGCCTCCCTACTCCTCCTACTGTGCCGTCAGGAATTACTGTCCCACAGTGAACAAACTCCCTTTCACCCTGAACCCCCTCCTTCCCTTTTCTTTCATGCTTTTCCATTGGCCCTGACTAAAACCTCTCCAATGACATTGCATCCCTTGCACTCCTGGCATTCTTTTTTGGCACTGGACGCACTTTCTCTCACACTCCTCAAGACATTGGTCCTAGAGGAGAAGCTGGAATACCTATTACTCTCCACTCTCATTTCCAGACTCTACCTTTACTTAACAATCTTTTCTCTTTTGCAGTTCCCTTGATCTAAAATTTCTACCCAATTTGTTTTTGTTTTTTGTCTGTATTTTCTTTCACAGCATGACTTACATGGAAATGTGTTTTGCATAACTACACACGTATAATCTATGTCAAATTGCTTGCCTTCTCAATGATGTGGGGAAAGGAGGGAGGGAGAGAATTTGGAATTCAAAATTTCAAAAAATAATTTTTATATTTAATTGGGAAAAATAAAATATTAAATTAAAAATGTAAATAAAAATAAAATAAAATTTCCACCCAATTTGAATTATGGTAGCTATAGCATATTGACACCCCCTCCCCCACATCATCCTCTCTCCTTATTCAAATCTTCAATTCCTGCTCTTGCCCAAGGTGGCTTTCATATAAATTTAGAATAATCTTCCCTCAAACTCCTTAAACCTTGTCTTCGCCCTCCTTAAATCTAACCAGTTACTCTTTCACTCAACCTCAACCACACACAGGGAATGGTCACATTCTCACTATTACCCATAATTATTCCATTTCCCTAATTCAATAACCTATCATATCCCACTGCTCTTTATGGTTCATCTTCTAAACCTATTTTTTGACCTCAAGACCTCCAGCCTCTCCACAATATTTTCTCAGACCTGTTCTGACTTCCCTTCCCTTCCTCTCCAATCTCAACCCAATAGTTAGCTATTTCAACTCTACACTGTCATGTTCTTGAATCCTTTGTCCCCTTCTAGCACCACTCTTCCCTTGCCAAATCTCAATCTTAGATGACTCTCACCACTGGCCTCCTCTACTCCTACTCAAGGGCTATTGAATGCAGCTGGAGGAAGTCTCACAACCACACTGACTGTGCACATTAAAAATTTCTGTTATTCACACTCACTGGACCCCCACTGCAGCAAGGCAGTCCACTTATTCTTCCCCAACTGATTCGCTATCTCACTCCCCACAGAAGCAATTTCAAAATGTCTCTCCCCCTCCTTCCCAGCTTGTCTCTTCATTGATAAATTTCTGACCATTCAACATGAGCTCATTCTTCTTCCACACAAGTTCCCTCTCCTTCCATTATCTTAATCTCAAAGGCCCTTGATATCATCTCCTACTCTTTCATTTCTTCCAGTAACTGACCAAGTGGTGGTCTTTCTCCTATCAAGGACAACCCTTGTAAAGGTGCACTTGACCCCTGTCTCCTCCTCTCTTCTCTAGAACATGGCATCAACCACTATTACCTATTCTTGAATCTTCAGCTATCCATAAACATCCACTTCCATTCCTACTACTTTCAAACACGCCCAAGGCTCCCTCAACCTTAAAAAACCTTTATTAGACTATACTATTCTCTTGTTATTATCCCATATCTCTCCTCTATTTTCAGCTAAATGCCTTGAAAAAGCTGTCCGCACTTGCTACCCCTACTGGCTTTCCTTTCAAACATTCCTCAAATCTTTGCAATCTGGCTTCTGACCTCATTGAGAAAACTGAAACTACCCTCTCCAAAGTTCCCAGTGATCTCTTAATTACTAAATCTGATGGTCTTTTTGTAGTCCTAATCCTTCTCAGCCTATAAATTTCATTTAACACAATCCTTTTTGAATACTTTCTCTTCTCTTGGTTTTTGTGACACTTCTTTCTCCTGGTTTATCTTGTATTTGTCTGACCACTTTTTCTCAGTCTTCTTTGTTAGTTCATCATCCATAACACAGCTCCTAAATATACCAAGATTTTGTCCTAGGCCCTCTTCTTTCTATATGCTCTCTCTGGGTAAGCTCATCGACTCTCATGAGTTGAGCTATCATATAACCAGACCTAATCTCAACTTCCGTCCTGCATCACCAATTAAATATTGGATATTTCAACCCGGACATCCAAGAGACAATTTAAACTCCACGTGTCCGAAACCAAACTCCTTATCTTTCCCCCTAAACCCTTCCCTCTTCCAAGCATTCCTACTTCTGTCAAATATGCCACCATCCTTCAAGTCTCTCAAGTTCATAACCTTGGCATTGTCTTCAATATCTCACTACCCCTCACCCCACATACCCAGACCTATGCCGATTATTTCCATTTCTACCTTCACCACGTCTCTCACATCTGACTCTTTATCTCCAATTACACAGCTATCATCTTAGTTCAGGCCCTCATCATCTCTCACCTAGATTATTACAGCAGCTTCCAAACTGGCTGCTCTGCCTCAAGTCTCCCATTGCTCCTATCTATCTTAAAAGCTTTTACCAAAGTAGTTTTACTTACATGTTGATCTCACTGTGTGACTATGCAATCAATCAACTCCATGGGCTTCCTATTGCCTCTAGGACCAAAAAATATAAACTCTTCTGTTTAGCTTTTAAAGCCCTACACAAATGGGTTTCAGTCCATCTTTCCAGTCTCACTGGATATTTCTCTTCCTCTCACACTCAGCAACACAGCCAAACTGGCTTTTCCTCTGCTCCTCACACAAGACACTCCATCTCTTATCTCCATGCCTTTGTGCTGGCTCTCCTCCATGCACGACATGAACTACCTCCTTACCTCTGCCTTACAAAATCCTTTTTTTCTTTGAAGATGCAGCACCAGCATCATCTTCATGAAGTTCTTCCCGAGCCCCTCCTGCAACTGCTAGTATCCTCCCTCCAAAACTACAGTTGATAACTCTGTCAATATTTATATTTATTCACTTGAAATTTAGGCTGTATATAGTTTCATATTTCCTCAATGTCTCCTTCATTAGAACTTAAGCTCTTTGCAAGCAGGAACGGTTTCATTCTTTGTACTTGTAAACCAAGCAACTAACACGGTATCTGGTACAGAGTGGGCATTTAATATACTTGTTGACTGACTGATTGGTCTGCAATACTGGACAAGACAGAGAACAGGAGCCAAAAGGTCTCAGAGAAGAATACCTGGGAAAATACGGACAAAATGGACCCATCAATCCATCAATCACACTTTAACGATGGTACAACAACCGGAATAGAACTAGCAGCAACTGTTTAACTCCCAGAGAAGGGAATGAAATAATCCAGTCAGCTGTGGAAGTTCAGAGGAATGTAGGCCAATGGAATGTAATCACGCAACTTGGAACTAGTCCAGGGCTTTGGGATAAACACCCTTTGACCAAGGAATTCCAAAGAACAGTGGAACCACACTCAAACAGAAATGGGAGGGCATTTAAAGCATACATAAGGATTCCTGAGGGCCGCATACTAAGCAAACCACACATTAACATTATCTATATTCTTGTGTATTTTGATTTGTTTTGTTAAGCATTTCTGAGGCACATTTTGATCTGCTGCTGGCCACACTCAGGAGTGTTACGGGTCATGCGTTTGATGCTCCTGCCATACAACACCAATTTTATTTCTGATCTGAAACATATTGCCTAGCTTTCCCCAATGAGCATGGTCCTTGGGCCTGGCTCAGTCCTTATTTAGAGGGAACAATGTCCCTAAATGAAGCGCCAACACTAATTCCACCTGAGGGTTCTCTTAGAAACTACCTTAGACCTTTAGCTCACAAGACCAAATGGAATTCTATGACTGGCTTGAGGGAATATGACAGAGGCACGATGTAGCCATCTTAGAATAAGAAGAACCTGCTATAGCTCAGGATTAAAAAGGTAGGGGAAATTGCAAACAAGGTTGGTGTCATACTTGCCTTCAATCCCTCCCTCCCCGTCCTCTTCATCATCCTCATCCTCATCACTGGACTCACTGACATGCACAGTGACAGCAGTGTTGGTTACAGGGGTCCAGTCAAAATAGACACCAAAGCCAATGTCATAATTATCAGTGGCAAATTCCCAAAAGAGGCGCTTCCCGTCAGGGTGGGTGGGCACACGTACTGTTACTACCTCACCCCGCTTCACCACCAGCCGAGAATTCTTCACCTTGCTCATCTTGGTTTTGAATTCCTTCATCTTGGCAAAGGTCCATATGGATGGAGGAGACAGAGGAGGTGTTGAGACTGAAAGAAACAGAAAGTTTATCATAGGGGGAGGGGACACTTAGGAAAAGCTAGACAGACCTGGCAGTTTACTTATGGAAGCATGGCGGTAGGAAAGCATTTTTCCTATCCAATTCTTTGACCTTGTCATCTCTCTTTTTTTTTTTAAAGAGCCCATGCAAAGACAAACCACTTCTCTGTCCCAAGATCTCACCTCTTCTCTGTTCTCCGAGGAGATCTGCAGACTCCAATTCAGTTGAGAGGACATCCACAGTTCCTGTGTCTCCTGTGTCTGACTGGATCATAACCACGTCTCCTGATCCTTTTGGTGCTTGGTATTTGCCCACCTGAACAACAGATTCCTGGTTGAAGGGCATGCCCCAGAGGTCCTTATTAAGCATTTTTTGCCCTGAATAGTTCAAAAAGCTTCCAGCCAAAAGACAGCTTCACCCTAACATTGGCATCAGTGATGAAAACATTTCCTGCTTCAAAACCTAATATCCTATTTAACCTTGTTCCTTTCCTCTTCTCTCAATGACCAGACTTCACTCAATTTCTTCTGGCCTCCTCCTCTTCCTAGTTGTTAGATTCTTATCTCAAAGATTTCTCCTTACTCCTTCATCTGCCTTTCAAAACTTACCCAACTCCACACTTTCTAAAAATCTTTGCCCACAACTGTGATCATATTCACATTTTCTTTTGCATTAAATTTCTGCAACCTACTCTAAATTTCTTACTTCTCATCCTGCAGAGGCACCTCCCTGACTATTTTCATCTGTTCTCATGCCACCTGGGACTTAACTCTCCCTCCCACTGTGCCATGAATTCCCCTCCTACTTTCCCTATTCACCTCCCACCTTCCAGGTAACTGTCAATTAATACTTCACAAAAGCACTGTACAAATACACAAAACAAACACTCTCTTCTCTGTACCACCTGGCTTTTTGGTTCCATGTTTGAATTGTGTGGCCTGTTTACCTTCTCAGCACCCTGAGGTAGGAATTGTTCTCTATTTTATTCAGCCCTAATAGTGCTCTGCAAATAATTATAATCTAATCACCGACACCAAGAACAGAGGGCTGGCTTTATATTAAAACACCGTTTTTGCTTCCAGAAGCCTGACTTGTAATTTACAGTCCAAATGTAGTCAGCTTTGTCTTCTTAGATTCAAAGCCCTCTCCAACTCACGTCACCGGTTCATAATCTAATCTTGGATGTTTCCTTCAGATCATTGTTCTCCCTAAGAGAGGTGTGTTATTATTCCCTGGCTCCTTCTCCTGGTAGCAGTTAGTTTAACAGAAATGCTATACCTACTGGCAAAAGGACAGAATACATCACAAAGAAACTGGCAAGAGCATCAGAGGTTCTAATACTTTCATTTACAAGTAGTGCAATTGTGAACAGGTGGAAACAGATCTAGTTTGTAATCCTTTTCTACAGTTTTCTCACAGGAGTATGTTTGCAGTGATAAATTGTTCCAACTGTCCCTGTGTGTATGTGTAAGCCAGACCCCTTGAGGTGGTGTTCAAAATGAGCCTTCTCTTCTCCCAAAGGAATATTTTTTTATTTGTCTCTTTAATACTTCTTCTAACCCTAACAGAATGAGGAGTTCTGCTACTAGTATCATTCCCCTGAAATCTTAACCAGAAACTTTAAGGAGATGTACATTTTTTTTTTAAGTGGGGAAGGGAAAGACAAAAAAACACAACCCAGTGATAAAGACATCATAGTGGAATAGAAAGAACATAGAATTTGGAGTCAGAAGAACTGGTTTTGGGTGTTGGTTCCATTATGTACCACCTATGGAGCTGTAAGGTTACTTTTCATCTCTGTGCTTTAATTTCCTCACCCATAAAATGAAGGGGTACAACTAGAGGACTTCTAAAGTTCTCTTTTTCACTCAAAAGGGCTATGATTCTATACTTCTATCTGATTATTAATGAATTAATCTGATATTAAGGCAGTTTTAGGGAACATGGTATCATAATCTTATTCAATTCATTCATTATTGAAGCATGTAATGTGTTGGAACAGAGAGATGGAATTCTGTGAGATGAGCTAGAAATACAGATATGAAAAATTAGCCTTCTTAGTCCATAATTTCTGTTTCTACTTTTAATTCTCAAGTTATAAAACCAGACAAAACTTAAGAGGATAATTCCTAGACTGTGGTATCATAAATTCTCCCCTTTAAGACATGAGAATATATGCTCCTTACCTCTTTAAGAAGCTGGTCTCCTGACAGTGATTCCTGACCCATCAATGCCTGCTCCTCCAAAGCACCATCACCTTTTCCAGGATTTTCTGCTACATCCTCAGTCACAGAAGATACAATCTGTGGCCTCTCAGAAGAAGATAACACATGAATTCAAGGGCTCTCTGGAGAAACATGCACTTTGGAGCAACTTTTTGAAGAAGTCGGCATCTAAAGAATTCCCCTCTCAGCACTCGGTTCTGCTGCCTAGGGTATCCTTACGTTTGCAGCACTGTAGCTGACCAATCACTAAACTTTGGCTGACTAGAAAGTTTTGAAAACTAGGGCTCAGAGGCTGAAGAGGGCAAAGTACCTGTCTCCTAGGATCCATGCCAATCACCTCTACAGATGATAAACAAGAAAGAAAAGGAGGAATCTAAGTTGTTTCACTTTACACAAATGACATGGAGAGTCAGAGAAGGCACCTAACTCAAATCAGAACAGCCATTACTAAAACAAAAGTCATTTAAACTGATTAACAAACAAATCTATTTGTACTCAAGGGGCAAAGTCTTTATTATTTCTTTTTACCATAAAATAATCAAATGACCACAAAAAATATATGATGCCTCTTAAATCATATTGGGGAAATACCTACATTTTGGAGTCAGTTTGTTAAAAATACAAAATGGGATAAGTCCCTCAGTTTATTGATTATTTCCCTCAAATACCTAGAAAGGGGAATATTCAGTTTTATGTTTAAATATTTCCAGGATCTATTATTTTACTGCTCTGGATATTCCCTCCACTGATACAGTCACAACCCCTTGCCTACTTGGTAGACTGTCTTCGAGAATTGCTGTGGCTGAAAAATTCACCACCTTGAGACCAAGCTGGTGAATAACTTCTCCAAAGTTAAATAGGCTGTTCTCTGAATGACATACATACCATCACCACACCATTATCACTGGCCCTTTCCAACCCTAGGTTTCTGTGGTTGATAGATCATTATTATTGTTCTTTTTTCTCAAATACGATTAACATGCCCAGATGAAAAAAATATCCAGTTTCATGTGTTATATTAAAGGAGGAGCAACACAGTAACCCCATAGATCATATCTACTGACTTTTTTTAAATGCTGTAAACCCTAATGAATGCTTATAACCAGCTAAAGAAAAGATAGTGAGGGCACATTGTAATAAGTATTGGACATATAGTCAGGGAACCAGGGTACAAATGCCAACTCTTTTCCAACTGGTAGAATTTGCCAACGTTTGCATACACCAATGGCATAACCTTTAACAACTTGCCAAGGGCATCTCCATGTCACTAGATGGCACTGGAGGAGGATTTCAATCTATCCCAGAGTGAATGAGTTAGTTCGTATAGGACTACTTCTGAGAAACATGGACATACATAGTCATCACGGAATCATAGTCTTAGAGCTGGAAAGTTCATCTAGTTCAACCCCCTCATTTCACAGATTAGGAAACCGAGACCCAGGGAAGTCAAGTAACTTACTCAAGCTCACCCAGGTAACATGTGGAAGAGTTGGCATTTGTACCCTGGTTCCCTGACTATATGTCCAATACTTATTACAGTGTGCCCTCACTACCTTTTCTTTAGCTGGTTATAAGCATGCATTAGGGTTTACAGCATTTAAAAAAAAATCAGTAGATATGATCTATGGGGTTACTGTGTTGCTCCTCCTTTAATATAACACATGAAACTGGATATTTTTTTCCTCTGGGCATGTTAATCATATTTGAGAAAAAAGACCAATAATAATGATCTATCAACCACAGAAACCTAGGGTTGGAAAGCACCTCAGAAGTCATCTGGCCCACTCCATACCTGAACAAGAATCCTTCTATAGCACATCCCCAACACATAGTCACTCAGTTTTTCTTTTAAGATGCCCTAATGAGAGATAACCTCCTGGGAGAGCCCATACCATGTTCTGGATAGATCTAATTGTCAGAGTAGAAGGATTTTCTTGTATCAAACCTGAATCTCCCTCTCTGCAACGTCTACCCATAGTTTCTGGATAGCTCTTCCAGTACCAGAAGAAGGCTATCCAAACTCCCCCCCCCTGCCCCAAATCTTCTCTTCTCCAGGCTAAACAACTTCAATTTCTAATTAATTATTTCAGGTCATTTGCCTGAACTCACTGAATACTGTTCCTAAAATGGAGTCTTTTCTTTGCCTTTAGTACCTTCCTTTCCATGCTGTTGCTGTTGTTCAGTTGTGTCTGACTCTTTGTGCCCCCATTTGGGGTTTTCTTGGCAAAGACACTGGAGTAGTTTGCCATTTCCTTCTCCAGCTCATTTTGTACAGATGAGAAACTGAGGCAAACAGGGTTAAGTGACTTGCCCAGGGTCACACAGCTAGTAAGTGTTTGAGGACAGATGAGTCTTACCGACTCCAGGCCCAGCACCCTGCCATCTAGCTGCCTTTCCGTAGATAGTTTCCTTACCAAAAAGATCTATTACATACCACATGAAACAGCTGCATTTCATTACTATTCATGACAGCCTTTTATTCTGTGAAGAACTTGGGGGTGGGGGGTTGGAAGTAAATTAAATTGCAAATTACTCAATGCATATGATAAACCACAGTTAAGAGAAAAGACCTATTTCGAGTTCTTTGCTCTCCCCAGACCTGGAAAAGGTGAGACGAGAAAAGTGTGTTTGGTGGTAGGATGAGAAAAGCATTCAATCTGTCTTACTAGAGATGGCAGGGGGATAAAAAACTGTATCATTTTTGACAGAGGTATAAAATAATTACTAAACTTGGCCTCTACCATGTGCTGGATTTTAAAAAACACACCTAAATGTCATCTTGCCTAAGACTGCTCTTCTTCCTCTCCTAAGATAAGTGTATTTAATATTAAAAGGAAAAAAGCTCTTTTGTGATAGCAGCTCCTTCAAATCAACATGTGCTGAAAATACATAAAATGAGGGGATTGTATTAAATTGTATTATCTCCCAGCTCTAAATCCTATGATTCTATGAATATGGAGCAGAGTAAGGAACAGGGAAAGAGAATTAAGAAAACTGATAGCTGTTCCCATTCTGTAACTAGGGTAGCAGAAAGGGCACTATAAAATTGAGATAAGACTTGAACTATTTGACTAACTGGGTTGTTAAGAAAGTTCTTTGTACACTGTAAGACAGTAAAGAAATATGAGCTATTACTTAATAAAATTCCCAAGAGTCTTTAGGAGGCTGTTTCTTCTAAAGTGTTTGTTATATTCAATAACCTAAAAACCTTAAAAACTGAACAAAGTCTTCCAGAATAATAGATAGTATTTATACAGTGCTTTTAAGATTTTGCAAAGCACTTACAAATATTATCTTTTTTTATCTTCACAACAACTCTGGGAGATAGGTGCTAATATTATCTCAATTTTACAAATGAGGAAACCAAGGCACAGAGGTCAAGTGACTTGCCCCAGGGTCCCAAAGCAATAAGGGGCTGGATTTGAACTTAGGTCTTCCTGCCTCCAGGTCCAGTACTCTAGTATTCATTATATTGTCACCTTGCTCTTTGTAACTAGCATTTTGAATTCTGGAAAAGAAAGGACTTTTCCCTTAGAGAATGATAGAAAGAGAAGAAATTACGTATAGGTATGGGGGGGGGGGGGAATCCCACAACCCATTTATATGACTTGGCTGTGTGAAAAGAAGACTGGACTTGGATTCAGAAAATGGACCTTTAAATTGTGTCCCTTCTAAACTTAGCTGTGTCACCCTGGGCGAGTCATTTCACCTCTAACACCTCAGTTCTGACAACAGTGAAACAGGGATAACAAACTTGCACTACCCTAAATCACAGAGTTGTGAAGATGAGATATATATTATGAGATATATATATAATACGTGAGATATAAATGTATACTATATGAGATATATTATAATAGTTTACATTTACATAGCACTTGCAGGTATCAATCTATCTTACAGATATCACCAAACCCTAAATGGGGTCATGAAGAGCAGGACACAAATCAAATGATTGAACATGAAGAGTAATCAGAGGACAGTCTGTGGTTAAGTCACTGTCTTTCTGAGCCTTCCCCACTCATATCTTCAGATGATGGGCAGGGAGATTACAATACAAACACAGACCGCCTATTCAAAAATGGAAAACCTCCAAACATTTTTATATAAATATATTTTGAGTCCTTTATTTTATATATGTCTGAAAACAATGGTGGCTGACATTTGTATTTTTCAAAGCTCTTCATGGTCTGGCTTAAGCCTATCTTTCTAGGTAACTTCTCTTTATGCACTTTACTTTCTGGCCACACTGACCTATTTGCTGTTCCAAAGACACCATATATCCCTTTTTCTATCTCTGTGCCTTTAAAGGTACAGGCTAGTTCCTGGGCCTGGATGGTAATTTCCTCCTTTCAGTATTCTTAGCTCCCTTCAAAGCTCTGTCTAAATGCCATTTCTCTCATACGGTCTTTCCTGATCAACACTCTCCCCCAAACAATTACTATACTCCACCCCTCACTCCAATTACCTTTATGTTTACTTGTGTTTACTGTGTATCTATTTTGCATATTTATCCTTTCCCCTGGTAGAATGTAAGCTCCTTGAGGGTAAGGTCTGTTTTGTTTGACTTTGTAGTGTCGGGTACACAGTAAATATTTTAACAAATATTTGTTAATGATCATAAACTTAATCTCATTTGCTTCTCTCAGCAACCCTATATAATAGGGGCTTATTGTTGTCCCATATTATAGACAAGTAAACTGAGACTCAGAAAAATCAGGTGACTTGCCCACAGTCACAAAGCTAATGTGTATCTAAGATGGGATTGGAACCCAAGTATTACTAACCCGAGTCTAGCACTCTCTCCATCACAACAGGCTGCCTCTCATCTGACCAAGAAATTATGCTTAAAACATCTCAGTGAATCTGATTTCTGTAATAAAGTTTAATGAGAAAACTAGCAGCTTAAAAATAGGTATCAGAACCTATAAAACAAAATTCAGGACAGATGAACTAAGTAGGACAAAACGGCACCTACTCTCCTTATTTTTACTTGTCTCTTCCTGAGGGCTGCTACTTTCCTCCTCACTTTGAGTCCTAAGGCAACAAGAAAAGATCCATAGAAGTTCCGGGGTCTGTTTATTTCAAAGAGCTGCTCTTCCTACCTGCGAGGTGAGGATGAAGGTTCCTGATCAGAGGCAGTCATCACTGGGGAAGCAATATCACTGGTTCTGTGGTTTGGATCCTCATTTTCTTAGGAGGCAAAGAAACAAGAGAAAATAATTTAACATTCAAGCAAAGACCTACAGGAAGCACACTGTTAATTACCTGATAGATTTGCTTGGGGGGAAAAATGTTAACAAGTTCTCTTCTTCTCAACATATTCAGGGGCAAGGTCTTTAAACCCTGGAAGGATAAACTCATAAATTTTTCAAGTTATCCAATCATTTTATAATCACAAGGCATTTGTGTGACAAGAACTTATGTACCAAAAGAGTTTCCTGCCTATCTCAGGCATACTATAAATCAAGAATAAATTATTCTTGGAAAGCAAATATGCCTAATAGAAGACCAGCCAAAAACAGAGTAGAATATGGATAAAATAGAGTGGTGGTTCAGAAAACCATCTTTGAATCTAACAACCGTAATTCTATGACACAAGACTGAATTCATTCATTTATTCACTCCATTCAACAAAGTTTGACCGAATACTATTAACTGCTTGGGATACACAGAAAAGGAATGTTAAGACTCAGACCTTTGTTTTCAAGGAAAATTCCAGCTTATTTGTCTATAGTTTCTGAAATTCATTTTTTACCACTTAAAAAAAATCAAAACACCTGCCTAACCCTAGTCAACTTGCATCTTTATTGTTCTTCATCCATAATTTCTCAAAGAAATCAGCAATTCTTCAATCACTTCTGCAGGTTTTTTCAATACACAGTAATTTGTCTGGCTCTGGTGACTTGAATTGATTTAAAGCATCTACGTACTACTGTCTTTATATTGGGCTTCAATTTCCTCTGGTCAATGCTAGCTTTCACATTTGAAGACTAATTTCATTGGACAAGAGGGAAGCAACATAAGAGTCGAGTAGGTCCATTATCTGTTAACAATATGTCAGTTTCCCAAGTCTCGTCCCTCGCTTGGTCATCATCTTGCTCTGAACATAACTAAAAATTTATGAAGGCTATTTCTTTCTTTACACAGAAAAATCTTTTTTTTAAAAAGGGGGAAACAGCAATGGATATAAAAGATTATATAAAATCAACAAGACCCAGGAATTTTTCAAAAGGGATTAAGTACTGATCTTTAGAACATAAAAATACATCTAGGAAAGAAATACTTAAGGAAAGGTCATTTTCTACTGAACCAAAATGCAGAACACTTACAGGGAACTAGTCTAATCGAGGATATCAGCATCATGGTCTTCACAGTATCTTGAGATCATAATATGTACGCAACTATTTTTAGATGGGAGATATTTAAACAAAAAATTTCAATATCTATTTTACAACTAAGTCATAAGACCATGCAAAACAACCTTTCAGAACTCCTGAGTAGGACACCAAGAGATATAGGTTTCAGATTCCTGGTCTGGGATCATTAATGCTAATATTATAGAATCATAGAAATTTTAGGCTTGAAAAGGGCATTAGAGACAATCTAGGCTTATACTTATTTTACAGACGGAGAAACTAGAGACCCAGAGAAATGAAATGACATAGTCGAGATCACAATGCTAGTTAGAGGCACAACTAGAGTTAAAATACCCAGGTTTTCTGGGTCTTCCTTCCAGACTTTTTTTTGTTTGTTTGTTTTCACTGAGACAGATCCTAGGTCATCACCAATCATCTCGACTTTTGTCTTGCCACTGGACTCCAATGATTCGGGAGGAGACTGAGACTTTGTGCAGCTCTGCCTCACTTAAATCCAATTCAGGCTCAAGTCAAGACACCACCAGGTGATATCACTGGTCCTCTTTGAGACTGAAGAAGGAACAACAACAACGTCACTGAGGCAGTAATCGTATTGCCGCCCTAGCAAGTAAAAATGTCAATCAACCAATAAGCACTGAAGTGCCTGCTATTTACGAGGCACTACGCAACAACCAAAGCAAGCCCTGTGTAACACTGATCTCAGCCGATACTAGTTCACTCTTCTCTCCCCCAAACTCCCTGGTCTTCATTTTTCATATTTTATTTATGTATGTATTTAAACATGTACAGCTTGTCTCCCCTGTCAGAGTGTAAGATCTTTGAGGAAAGGGACTCGTGTCTCATTGATCAACACATATTGAGTGTTTATTCAATGTTCACTAATGGAAGAAAAAAGTATATCATTTAAGATGAAACTGTAACAAGAAATCAGAAGATAAAAGGAATATTTGCTGTATACCAACTGCATACTGTATTTTTCAGACCCATGAATGACTGCATCAATTCTATCTCAACAGTTTTAAGTGTTCAACATCTTATGGACAAGGCAGACAACTACATCAAAGTAGCAGTGTGCTCTGTTGCATAATTTCTTCCCTTAGTGCCCATAAAGACCCCCTAAATTAAGACAAACAATGCAACACTTATTCGAGGTATTTTACTTTCTGAAAAGCAACTTGTTCTTTTGGGAACTGAAGAACTCATATGCCCCCAAGCAGAAGAGGTTATTGAAAAAAATCATATTAAATAAAACAAGTACACCTTGATAACTGAAATATGGCAGCTCCTAGCTAGTTTCTCACTACAACTCTAGTTAATAGTAAACATGTGACTCTCCAAAAGGTATGAAAATGAACCATATTTATCTAGGACAGTTGCTAATAAGTTGAAAACTGAATCTTTTTGCTAAAAGCAGATTCTCCCTCCCCTTCCCCCCTCCCTCTCTAGTTATATGAAACATGTTCTAAATCACTATTGATTAGAGAAATGCAAATCAAAACGGCTCTAAGGTACCACATCACACCTATCAGATTGGCTAACATGACAAAACAAGAGAATTATAAATGCTGGAGAAGATGTGGGAACATTGGAACACTAATGCATTGTTGGTGGAGTTGTAAAATGATCCAACCATTTTGGAGAACAATTTGGAACTATGCCCAAAGGGCTATAAAAACGTGCATACCCTTTCACCCAGCAATAGCACTTCTAGGGCTATATCCCAAAGAGATCAAACAAATGGGAGAAGGACCCACATGTACAAAAACATTCATAGCAGCTCTTTTTGTGGTGGCAAATAACTGGAAATTGAGAGGATGCCCATCAATTGGGGAATGGTTGAACAAGTTGTGGTATATGAATGTAATAGAATACTATAGAAATGATGAATCAGCTTACCAGAAAAACCTAGAAAGACTCGTATGGACTGATGCTGAGTGAAGTGAGCAGAACCAGGAGAATGTTGTACACAGTAACAGCCATGTTGTTTGATGACTAATATTGATAGACTTAACCCTTCTCAGCAATACAAGGATCTAAGACATCTCCAAAGGCCTCATGATGGAAAATGCTATCCACATCCAAAGAAAGAACTATGGAGTTTGAATGTAGATCAAAGCATATTATTTGCTATTTTTTTTTCTTCTGTTGTGTTTTGTTTCCTCCTTCTGGTGGTTCCTCCTATTAGTTCTAATTCTTCCTTACAAGTGAAAATATGTTTAATAGTAATGAATATATATAACCTATATCTGATTGTGCACCGTCTGGGGGAGGGAAGTGGGAAGGGAAGGGGAGAAAAATTTAAAACTCAAAAGCTTATGGAAGTGATTGTTGATGATTCAAAAAATAAAAACTACACGTTCATATCTTTTGACCATTTATCAATTGGGTAATGGCCCTTGTTCTTACGAATTCTAATACTGACTTCATTAGATACCACTTTCATCATTAGAAACAAATGTGAAAGAGCTTTAGAGTAGGAGTCAGAAGAGCTAAAATCATCTACTTAAACACCTCATTTTTTGGATGAGGAAAGTGAGGCCCAGAGATGTTAAATGACTTTCCCAAAGTCACACAGCTAATAAAATAAGAAAGAAAGTTAAGATTTTTTTTTACCCAGATCCCCTGACTCCAAATTTGGTTTTATTTCCACTGTATCATGCAGTTTCATATCAACTAGATATGTAATCTTGAGCAAGTTATTTAACCTATCAGTGAGTCTCAATTTCCTCAATTATAATATAAGAGTTGGGACCAGATAGTTTTTAAGGTTCCTTTCCTGTTCTAAAAATGTTTCATGAAATTCCTCGCTTCTTTTTATCTAAACTCTACCCAACCTGCAAGATTCAGTTCAAGGTCCGCTTCAACTGCTAGGGAATATTGAAAAACTTGTAATTATATAGTCTCATATTGTTTGTTTTAGTTTCAAGTAAACTCATTTTGTCTCACCAAATAAATTATAAACTTCTTGGGGGAAGGGATTATGCATGGTGTTTCCAAACTCTCCCATTTCATTAGCATAATAGTGAACTTGTGAATATTTGTTGTCTGACAATTAAAATGAATTATTCCAACACACTCCAATGGATATGTGATCTCATTAACGAATATACACCTCCCAAAGATGCATTCAAGAAATGCGTTGTACAAAGCTATCACTCTTTGCAGATGACATGATGATATACTTAGAGAATCAAGTAAAAAACTACTTGAAATAATAAACAACTTTAGCAAAGTTGCAGGCTATAAAATAAACCCACATAAATCATCAGCATTTCTATATATTACCAACAGAGCCCAACAGCAAGAGATAGAAAGAGAAATCCCATTTAAACTTACTGTAGACATTATAAAATATTTAGGAGTCTACCTCCTGAAACAAACCCAGGAACTCTATGAACACAATTACAAAACACTTCACACAAATAAAATCAGATCTAAATAACTGGAAAAACATCAGTTGCTCATGGGTAGGCCGAGCTAATATAATAAAAATGACAATCCTACCTAAGCTAATTTACTTATTCAGTGCTATAACAATCAAACTACCAAGAAATTATTTTATAGAGTTAGAAAAAATAATAACAAGATTCATTTGGAAAAATAAAAGGTCCAGAATATCAAAGGAACTAATGAAAAGAAATGCAGGGGAAGGTGGCCTAGCAATTCCAGATCTTAAATTGTATTATAAAGCAGCAATCATCAAAACTGCTTGGTACTGGCTAAGAAATAGGGAGGTGGATCAGTGGAATAGGTTAAATATGCAAGACACAGTAGTCAATGACTATAGTAATCTATTATTTGATAAACCCAAAG